AATTTTTGAAAAGGCAAGAACCTTGAGAATGTCCCTTAGTAGGCTGCAATCTCTTTTTATGCCCATTTAACATATTGAATTTTTGGCTAAGCTGGAAAGCATGTTAGTTTTCATACCAGAGTATCAGGAATGATTATTAATACTCACGAGGGCTGAGTTGTTCAAAGCTAGGTTAAGATAACCCAGGGTTAGTGCGAAATTTGAATTCAGATTTGAAAGCTTAAAAAGCATATTTAGTTAAATTCTTTGTATCTACAATATGATGATTGGATGATCCTAAAAGAATAGACAAAATCATCTGAGAAAATCCTCAATTCGAATAAAAGGAAAAGGAACCCGGATTAAAATCTAACCTCAGGTTAGCGCTAATCGGCCTTCGAACAACTGGGCCCCATATTAGAACAAGACATCGAAGACATTCTTGGATTCTGGATTCCATCCACGTGCACCCTGTGGATTCCGGATAATTCTGTTTACTGGATTTCAGATCGCTTGTCAGTGGAAGTTAGATTCTGGTTTGCAATTGTTAGTGGGATTCGGAACTTCCTGAGTTGAATTCCCAGAATTCTGGATTACTCAAGCAAAAGTTTACCAGATTCCAGAATCCCAATTATCTTACAAGGGGCAAACTTCCCTTGTTTGATATGCATTGTATTACTAGAAAATGATTCTGATTGTATTTTTGTATTTTTTTTTGTTGCGCTACAGATGGTCAACACCTTGGCATTACTGTTGTCCTCTGAGGAGCGACGAAGATCACGTTATGCCGTAGAGACTTTGTCTAATGACTCTGATTTGTACGATTCTGATCTGTTTGTTCAAGGCTTGCTTAAGGTGCTTACTAGAGCTAGCTTCTTTTTGTCAATCAATAGTTGCGGTTACACTAGACGTTTCAGAGCTTCTCATGGCGAAATGGCTTTGGTTGGGCTCAGTCTAGGTTGTGATCGACGTCATGCTTGCGTTTACACTCTGATAAATTACCCCAGCGAAAGAGAAAACGTTGCCTCGATTTTGCAACTAAAGAAAATAAGCTGTTGACTTTTTTGACGTTTTAAAAGTTTACTAAAACAGTTCTGAGTGTTGAAAACTAAAGCTGGTGTTATGTTCGGGACCATTTTGCCAGCTAAAGATTTCTGAAACGCGAGGCGTTTTAGCAACTAGTTGTTGCCCATGTTTCTAATTCTTGTATGTTAAATGAAATCCCAGGAAATAAAACAAGACGGCGCCGACGGCGTTTGACACGGTAGGCCTCAAGAGTGAACAGTTTTATCGCTTAAGAACGAATTATCCGGGTTCCTAATAGATTCTGCCTTTTTACAAGGCGAGAAGTGGAATATTTAGGAAAGATGGTGTGAGACTGCATGGGACTGTTTTTATGCAAGGTTGCTCCCCCTTTCCCCCAGAAACGCCTGATACTCAGGCTCGGATTAAGGGATTTAGCGAAACTTTGGGTCGGGACGACAGCATTAAAGAACCCTCCCTCATAAATACCTTCAAATTATGGGATCATGTCTCTTTGTACATTAGAGCACCAAGGATCCTTTCAGTCTTCCAGTTAAAGGAATCATCACCAGTAGCCTTCCCAGCACTCTGGTTGACCTGGATACAGGTGAAGTCAAACAGACCTGCCCCTTTAACCAACATGTGGTCATAAGAAAAGAGTTCATTGACATTGAGTTGGCGCTGCTGCTAGAGGAGGCGGAAGATGCTCCAGTATTCCCTGCGCTGTGAGTACTTAAAAAAATCTCTTCTTGACACCGTGCGACCTGAGCATCGATTTGTCTTCTTCTTGGTCAATCGAGTAGGAGAAAAAAAGGCTCTGAGGGAATCCCGTCAAACCTTTGAAATCGCCAAAGCCCGAACTTCTGGACTAGTCAATTCTGTTTTCCCTGAAACAAGTTTTTCGAGAGCGAGCATTCGTTTATTGATACTGATGATCATAACTGATGTTTTCACTTTTCACTGGCGTAAATGAAACTGTGTATTTTTCTTTATTCAAGGGGTTTATTTCACAACTCAGAAGAAGCTGGTATGCTGGTACAAGCGTTCTTGCATGATGTAAGTAACAATTACACAAGAATAGGAACCAAATAAGAACGGCGCGCCTGTCTCCCTCTCCTCGCGCCGTGTCCGATGGATAGCTTTATCCAACGTTTGAACAACCCAGGCATGGTCTATATGCCGGATAGCTATAAGCAATAGAAATGAATCAATGATGGTGCAATTTCTTTTTCCTTCTCTCTCGTAATCGACCTTCCAAAAGACTACGCTGTTGTTTATGATTACCGAGGGTCTTGCTCGTTTAAAGCCCTTGAAATCTGGCAGCCTGCTAGGGTGGAGGTTTTGTTTGGCCAACGTAGAAATGAGTGGAAAAGCCAGAAAAACGCCCATTTCTCTGTCTCTCTCTTTTTCGCCCCTTTCTACTATCGGCTCATTTACGCGCTTGGCAGACAAGCTATGAAGCTGGAAGCAAAGCTAAGCCTAGCTGGCCTTTCAGTTCATAATGATTTACAGTTAGTGGTAGCATACTACAAGCTTTAATTATACACCAAACCCTTGATACCCATACTACCATGAATGATATCTATCATGACAAGCCCTAAGTTATTCAGTAGTTGATCCACTGTTTGATACTTACTTTTGTATATCTGTTCACTTCACAGCTCAATCTCCTTCCTTACGTTTGCGGTGTCCGCGAGGGATTCATCGATAATTTCCTGCGTCTCCTTGACAGAAAAGCTCTGGCACTCATCAAATACGTGGAAGCTAAAACGTATGTATAATATGCCCCATAATATCAGGGCAGTTTAATTGTAAGTCTGCTAAAGGTTCTCTAATTAACTGGAACCCAACCCCTTCCCCCAACACGTTCAGTGGCACCTGCACATGTAAATTCAACTCAGAGAATGAATTTAAATGAATATGATTTCAATGTGAAATGTAACCCTAAGTTCTGTAGCGTTAACAATCCTTCCAAGTTTACCTGTTTGCAACGCTCATAATAGAGTATTGACGCACGCCAACCGGAAGAGGACTTTTTGCGTTCTTGGGCATTAGTTTTGCCTAATTTTTTCGGGAAAATCGTCTCTTGTAAATTCAACTGAGTTGAGTTGAATTTACCGCCGCCTGGTTGGCTCAGTTGGGAGAGCGCCGGTCTGCTGAGCGGGAGGTCACGGGTTCGAACCCCGGCCGGACCAACACTCAGGGTCTGGCAGCCTCAGGGTCTTTAAATAACTGAGAAGAAAGTGCTGCCTTTGTGATGACATCTGCAAACGGTTAGACTCTCTAGTCTTCTCGGATAAGGACGAAAAACCGTAGGTCCCGTTTCACAGCACTTACACTTATCTGGTTCTTGTGGGACGTAAAAGAACCCACACCACTGTTCGAAAAGAGTAGGGGACGTAGACCCCGGTGTTGTGGTCAACCTTCACACATCACATCATGGGTTGGGTGGGTACAGTAAGATCATAAATGGACTGAGAGCGGCTGCCAGTGGTTCCTTTGTATGCTGACGTCCGAGCTTACTGTTCACATGTTAAAAATGTATTGTAAAGAGAGCACGTCTGTTGTCCTCTCATCCACGACTCTTCTCTTCATTCTTGTACGGTAAAGACACTGAGAAATACACATTCGGTAGCGCCAACGCCTTTTAGTTAGGCTTAAAAAGGCCACACTTCTGGTTAACGTACGTCGCTCAAAAACGACTTTGCCTAAACTCCCTGTTGATGCGCACATCTAACTTGTTTTAAAATACAGACTGCTGATACATAGGGTTAGTCAGTAAATTCCACCAATGTTTGCTAGCAGAGAACAAACGCAGTTATCGTAGTATTGTTTTGGGAAAAATGCCACATTATAGCAACATGGAAGCTCAAATACGTTACACTGCAGATAAATAAAATTCGACCACAATGCCACCCTACCCCTTCCCCCGCAGGATAAACTTTATGATTTATTCTTCTTCTTTAGTGCTATTGAATTGTTTTCTCAACTTTTCAATCCTAGTTCACATCTTTACCACTTACAGTCAAACCTGGTCAATCGTACCCCAATAGAGTGTATCTGTTTTCTCTTTGTTTTCGTGGTAGGTCATTTGGCACAGTACCAATGGATCACGCTGCTAGACGTCAGTTACGCCAGGATCTTCAACTCGCCACGGAGGAAGATTACTCCATCGTGTTAACACGCGCGGAAAAACTACATTCTGGAATTTACACGTTTCTGAAAGGGGATCCTCGAGAGAGTGTGGCTCGAGTCCAGGCCAATTTCGAGTCGCTCTAAGCAACCACGTGACAGGGCGGCCATGTTGGAGTTTAGTCCCCAAAGGAGAGATTTGCTTTTGTTCTTGATCACCAGTATGGTCGCCGTGACGTCACGTGCAAACCAGCAATACTCAAGCATGTGTCCAAGTTCTCTCCTCTTGACTTAGCTTCTTCCGACACAAAAGAAATGAGAAACGGGAATGGGGCTGTATGTCCCTCAGCTTTAGAGATGAAGATTGACTCTTCAAGATAAAAGAGAGTTTTAGCAACCACGAAAACAACGGCAGCGAAACGTCACTTAAAAACGGGAATTCGCGCTTTTTCAAACTTCATTCCTCTTATTCCATTTCATTCAATTTGTCAAATGTTGGCAAATTTTTTTGGAGTTGATTTTGAAGAACTGTATTTAAGTTTAGAAAAAGAAACAGAAAATAGTTGTCCTGTGTTCACGTCCTTCATAAAACGTGAAACTGGGAAGTTTCACGCTGGATTCGAGAAACAACGGCAAAAAATGTACAAAAAAGCGTGATGCATGCACGTGCAAAATTATTGTTGTGCTAATCTAACCTATTCCTTTTTTGCTGTTCTCGTTGCCGTCGCCGTCGCCGTCGTCGTTGCTTAAGCTCCCTAAGGTTTCAAATTTCCGGTTCAATTCTCGTTTCTTTGCAGTGTTCACGCGAATTTTCCACTCCGTTTGCACTGATTTTCCTGTTCTCCAATAATTGGTGGAGGGAGGACGATATAAAGAGCTCCGGCCTTAGATCATTTCAAATTATTCTTCATTACGTTTCACGTTAGTGTTAAATCATGATGTGCAGTCATTTTTTTTAGTCCTTACAGAGCAGTTTATACAGTAACTGCCTCACTCCTTCGCGAATTTGTCTGATTCTCCAACAATAAAGGATTGGGGTGATCGCGGACAATGCGAACACCAATACAACCGACACTTTATAAGCAGCAATCAATCTCGGCGATTGCCCGAACAGCAAGAGTAGAAAAACGTTGACAATGAACGGAAAATAACTCAAATAGAACGAAGCCAAGATAAGGAGAATTGTAAAGACTGATTTTTTGTACTTTGCCATGTTTATAAATGGCCCTCTTGGGGAACGCGTCGAAGTCAAGCTGGCTTGAATTTGCTGTTGATGGTGACGAATGCTTCGATAAACTTGAAGATAAGTTAAGGAAGTTACAACAAAGCAAAGTGTTACAAGGGATATTATTGCTATTTGTGACACTAGGCAGTAAGATCCGGTCAAAATTTGCAACGTACGGAAGACATTTAGTGGTATGGGCAGAAGTAATATCACAAGAAAGAATTTGAAAACGCGGCTGGAATTCGCCCATCTTCGCCTAGTCATATAAAGACACCTTTCGATTGCCATCAATGTTGTAGTTAAGGTCGTAATANGCTGGCTTGAATTTGCTGTTGATGGTGACGAATGCTTCGATAAACTTGAAGATAAGTTAAGGAAGTTACAACAAAGCAAAGTGTTACAAGGGATATTATTGCTATTTGTGACACTAGGCAGTAAGATCCGGTCAAAATTTGCAACGTACGGAAGACATTTAGTGGTATGGGCAGAAGTAATATCACAAGAAAGAATTTGAAAACGCGGCTGGAATTCGCCCATCTTCGCCTAGTCATATAAAGACACCTTTCGATTGCCATCAATGTTGTAGTTAAGGTCGTAATAGCAGTTGTGTAAATTCCAAGGCCTCCGAGGATTAAATGCAAATAATAGAAGACCGATGTCTTTATCACAGATGGTCTCAACATCATGGCAAGTTCTTTTATAGCATATGATGGTTGAAAAAGTACCCCCCGATACGAAGGATTCCAGCGATAAAGCGCCAACCAAGAAGTACGTCGAGCTTCTTAAAGACTGGTTTCTCCATATGGCGAGCACAACAAGAAGATTCCCGGTTACGGTTACAGGAGACATGGATGCGACAATAACTGAACTTGTAACTGCTACTCTGACAAGATCATAATCAGCTATGTTCCAAGATAAAGAGGATTCTGGATCGCAACTTGTATTGCTCATCTTCAGTCACAAATAGTCGTTGAGAACACAAGAGTACAATCTAAATTATTTTAAGATTGTCCTTTAAAGACTTCGTTGATGCTCAGTATGTTCGTGACAAAGTTAAACCAAACCCTTTCTTCTTTAGTGTCTTAAGCAAGATATTTGGGGGTATGATACATATCAACCATTAAGTACCAAAGTTACCTTTCGTTCATTTCTTCGAAAGTAAAGGAGACATTCTTTAACAGCTTTTATATTATTTTGCAGACGAAGTAGGACTTGGCAAATGTTAGGCAGATGTTTCTAACATATTGCGGATTGATTTATGTAAATGCCACAGCGAACTGTCATTAAAAAATTATACTTTTGTAAAGAAAATGTCAACGAAAATGCTTTTCAGCTTCTCTATTTCCGTCTCGCTGGAGGCTAATTTAATATTGCATGCGTGGAAAATAATAGAATGAATAAGGACTATACTGTATCACTCTGTGTTAGATAATAACAAGAAGTTTTTAATAATAAAATAAATATAAAGACAGTATCAATCTATGTTAGGTAATAAGAATGGAAGTTTTTAAAAAAGAATGCACTGTTAAAATAGAGCCATTTATTGTTGAACTATGTGGTGCTCAGTCTTTACAAGAATTAACACTTAAAATGAAACGCCGTACGTATAAATTGTAAAATAAAAGTTGAGATCACGTTTGGAAACAATGCCGCAAACAGTTTGACAGCAAATAAAAATGCTAAGGCAATAGATAAAAAAAATGAGACATATAAGGTGTTTTATTTAATGGAAATTCAAAGAAAGAACTTTGTAAGTGGTTATAACCGAGAACGAAAATGGTTTGCTAGTAAATAAGAATTGCTAAATAAAAATGAGCCAATTTTTAGTTCTCTTTTATTTGAAAGTCTCAGTAATTAAAAACATGATTTCGGAGTTGCAAGTGGTTTTATTTGGTTAATCATTTTTTCTTGTACAGTCAAAAATTTCTAGTTACACCCGCATAGGCAAGCGCGTGATGTTAATCACTTCGCCAGCCCAGTTCCTGCGAGTTGTTAAGCCGTGCGTCAGTTTGTTGCTGATCTTCAGCACAACAATGCCCTTATTTGTACGTCCATGCTTCTACGCGAAACCAGAGTTTAAGAGGCTAATAATAACAGTAATAATAACATGAAGAGAGAACAACGAACAACACTGAAAAAGAGAAACTCCAACTATACAGCAATATGCCGGTTTCAAATAATGTATAAATTCAAACTTGCCAATCTCATTGAGATTAATTGTTAAATAATTCGTTAAACGGGCTCGGAGCCAAGTATGAATTTTGGTGATTCGAAATTGGTCAAAAGCAGTTTCTAGTTTGCTATGACCGCTGAATACAAGAAGTAAAGACGAATTTATAACATAAATATATTCACAACTTCCAACGAGAAGAGGACCAGTTTATAACTCTGTCTATTGTTTTTTTTTTCTTTTAATTTCAAACA